CAGGGCATCTCTGGATCTGCCTCCTCCTCCCAGTCCTTCCCCCATCACCTCAGCAGCCTGGCCATCTTGGAACTCCTGGGATGCTCCTCATAATGGCTCTAAAGCCCTTGTTCCTCACTTCTTCCTGGAGGGGGCCCCACCTTGGCTCTGGGTGGCAGGAAAAGCTCTTTTCCCCTCTGCGAGAATGATCCCATCTTGCCAGTTAAATGGAATGGTCTTCCCTGAATCTGTTATCTGGGTCATGTGTGTGCAGCCAGGCCTCTAGCTGCAGTGGTAACGGGGGCCTCTCCTCACTGGCTGCTCCCCATGGTCTCCTCTGCTCTCTCCTCCCTTCTCATAGGCGTCTTCATCTTCCTTGGGGTTCTGCTCCCCCATAACTCGGGGTTCCACCATGTGGCCCTGACCTGCATTCCGGCTGCTCTAGAGGCGTGATCTGGCTTCTGCCTCTGCATGAATGAACTACATCACTTGGGAGGTCCTGGTTCGAGTTACTAGGGTGACAGTCTGGCCTGAGTCGTTTATGACCAGGCCAGAGGTTCTGTATGTCCCAGGCTTGGCCTCTGGGGTCAGACACTCATTGCCTTCTGCAGGGCAACCAGGAGCCATGGGGACCTGGGGATGAGGCAGTTTTCCTTAAATCAGGGTGGGAAGCAGGCAGGGGCCTCAACCACAGGGCAAATTAGCAACTGAGATGGCATCAGCAGCCTTGCTCAGAGGCGACGCTCTCCCCAGCTCCACCCACCCTGCCCAGGCTGCAGCAATGCCTGCTGTATGCCCAGCACCAGGTTAGACTTCTGGGGGAACTAGATGAACAGGACTCAGACCCTGTTCTCAAGGAGCTGAGGGTCTCATATGGGAGACAGAGAGTCCTCAGATGCCTGAATACCAGGCTCTAAGGAGCACGAGGTGCGCAGGGAAGGGAGAACTCAGCTCTGGCTGAGGAGTTGGGGATGCTTCACGGAGGGGGCAATATTTGACTTGCGCCACAAGGTGGGATTTTAATGCGTGGTTGGTTCCAGGGTTGCTGGAAACATCTCAGAGAGAATAGAACCACAGGAACAAAGGTCCGGCTCAGTAGCAGAGCGGGAGGAGCTGACGACTAACTTGTGTAGTGAGAATGCTCAGAGCAGTGGGGATTAACCAAAAAGTAGACAGGGTGTGGCTGTTGCTTGGCAGGCAGCGGGAGGCCCCAGAGGGGTCCCCATGGGAGGAAGAAGGCCCACAGGGAGGCAGGGTGGCATGGAGTGGGGAGGGCCTGTTTGGTTGAGCTGTTTGTCTGGGTAGGGCCACCCATCTGGGTCTCCTCCTGGGTCCCCAGGGCCTGCGTTCAGAACTGGGCAGGCACACAGCCCTCTCCAACCCAGTGCCCCCAGCTGCAGCCTGATGGCAGGGCTAAAATTAGCCTGGTGGCTGTGGGGGCAGTGGGAGAGACAGTCATGGGACTCACCCCCACCTCTCCTCTCAGAGGGAGGGAGAAGGGCGGCTGGAAGTAGAAAGGACCCAGGCCCGGGCCTGGGGTGGCACTGGGGCACTATAGCAGCAGGAACCTGGGACCCCTCCGGCCTGACTTAGGGCACAGGAGCTTGGGGGTAGGAGCAGGAGGGCTCTGCCTCTCTCCTGGCCACCCCCTGGTGCACTGCTGGATCCTGAGGGAGGGGTGGTTGGGTTTTGAGTACCCAGTGCCCTGACCCACTTCTCCTCCTCCTGCTTGCCCAGGTCCTCTGGGGCTCCTCTCCCGTGGTCGCCATGGGAACTCCAGGTGGCTGAAGTTTGCTTGAGCCTAGCTCCCTGAGACGAGCTGTGGGTCAGGGGACGTAGAGGGAACTGGTCCCCAGCCTGGGCTCTGAGCACCCCTCCCCTGGGGCCCAGAGTCTCCATCTGAGCTCTGCCCATCTAACCCTCACCTGGTCTCGTCCTCGCTTCCTCCCTCCCCCACACTCCACACAGCCTTCCAGTCACCAAGTTCTGACTATTCCTTCCACTTGCACAATCTCCCTGGGAGGCATCTGTTCTGCACCAGCTTGGCTGCCTCAGGCCTGCTCCACCCCTTCCCTCTCCCCTGGATGACAGCAGTGGCCTCCTAGGGGGTCTGGCTCCTTCAGTCTGCTCCTCCTGGGTGCTGCTGCTGTCCTCAGGACGAGCCCTGCTTCTGACCAGCGCCTGCCAGTCTGGCAGCTCCTCTGCCCCTCCCTACCCCAGCCTGGGCTCCTACCACCCAGGGATGGCTGCATGTGTGAAATGGGTGGGTGGTGTGTTGACCTTCACTTCTGGAACCGCATTCTATGGGGCAGTAGCGTCTTTCTGGAATTAACAGGTATACCTTGAAAATGGGTTCCCTGTGGAATTGGTTTGGGAAGCAATTACTTTATTAATTCTGGTACATGGCAAATTGGTCTTATTAATTTTATAAAAATTATTGACAATCATTACCCAAAAACAAAAATCTTTCACTTTTTAAAATTGACTACTTAAATTTTACCTGAAATTACCAAACATAAACCTTTAAAAAATACTATGTGTTTACTAATAGTTCCAACAATAAAAAAATGACTTACACCAGTCCAAAAAAAACAAGTCATTAAAATTCAATATAACTCAACTCAAAAAACAAAATTGGTTACTGTCATTACAATATTACAAAATTTTAATCAGCCTATTAAGATTGTATGTAATTCTACATATACAATACAAACTACAAAAAAATTTAAAATAGCTCTGATCAAATATAAATAATCAGTTAAACCAACTGTTTAATTTGTTACAACAAACTGTAAAAAAAAAAATTCCCTTTTTATATTACTCATATCCAAACACATACTAATTTACCAAGGCCTTTAACTAAAACAAATGAACAAACTAACTTACTAGTATCATCTACATTCATAAAAACACAAAAACTTCATGCCTTAACTCATATAAATACAGCAAAACTAAAAAATAAATTTAATATCACATAAAAACAAACAAAAAATATTGTACAACATTACACCCAGTGTCAAATTCTACACCTGCCCACTTAAAAAACAAAAGTTAATTCCAAAAGTCTATGTCCTAATACGTTATGGCAAATAAATATCACACAGATAAATAAAATAAAAAATTACACATACAACAAAAATCCCTTATAATTCCCAAAAACAAACCATAATTAAAAAACTAATAAAGCACTCAAAACTCAATTAATTAAACAAAAAAGTAATAAAAAGTATAACACTCCCCAAATACAACTTAATCTAACACTCTATACTTTAAATTTTTTAAACATTTATAAAAATCAGACCACTACTTCTACAAAACAACATTTTACTAATTAAAAAACCCACATAAAAAAACTAATTAAAAAAACATAAAAAAAACTTTACTTGTGTTTCACCAAAAAAAATCAACTTCCTATTTAAATACCCACTAAACATTTAAAATTCTACAATAAACCATTAAAAATACAAAAAAAAACTCCACAAAAATAAAAACACCACAATCAAACATCATTAACTCACCAATAAAATAATATAAAAAAAATAAAGTCGCCATTCACCAAAACAACAAAGCCACCAACTTAAACACAATTTAAAAAACTAACACAGTTAACTAAAAAACCCTAAAAAACACAAAAGTGACACAAACTTCAAAAAATATACTAGTAAGTCTCCCCATGTCTACAAAAACAACTACAACTAATTATACTTACTAAGCCTATGTACCTTTCCCACCCTTAATTCAAACAGTCACATAAATAATCCTATTAAAATATATGTTAATACATGGGTACCAGACCCCACAAATAATCGTTGCCCTGCCCAACCTAAAAATATAATAATACTAATAAGTATTTCCATTAAATATTATCCTCCTATTTGCCTAAAGACACCAAAATATTTAATACCTACAACCCAAAATTAGTTAGTAAAAGTACCTACTATCAATACCACCAACAAATTTACTTATCACATAGTAAGTAAATGTCACTCAAACCACAAATAATTTACAGAACTCTTCTTTTCAAAGATCATTAAAATCTAAACCTAAAAAAAACCTTGCCCCCACCAAAATTCCCAAAAAATCAAAAGACCCAAAAGTCTTAGTTTAAAAAACATGTATAACTAATACTACAATACTACAAAACAATAAATTTAAAACTATTATAAACTAGGACCCTCAAAACCAGTTATAATTATATGGGCTAAACTCACTTATGTTCACAGGCCCCATCCATCTGGCCCATTAATCCGGCCTATAGTAATAATTTAACTAAAAAACTAAACCAAATTTCTAAAAAGTTAAAATCATGCTATTCATAAAAATAAAAGTAAAAAAAAATTTTTTTACTATGCCTAAATGTATACGTAGGCCAGATTAATACTTCTGTCCACCCAAACATCTCAGTGTAGTAAAAAGTAACAGAACAACATTGCTGCCAGTATATCTCACCTCCAGCCACAGGGCGGTTTTCTCCTATCTCAAAATAAAACAAATGTACAATCGGGTTTTACACCGAGGCATTCGGTTCCCAGGGGCATACAAGAGATGGAGGCCTTCCTCTTTTACTAATCCTCCTCGACGTAGACCCTTTATGGGTGTCGGACTGGAAGACGGTCTGGTCTTTCACTTCCCACAAGGCCGTATCTCAGACTGTCTCAGTGGGGAAAAACCTTGGACAATACCCAGAGTTTCTTGGGCAGAGGTCCCTGCGGCTTTCTGCAGTGTATTGTGCCCCTGGTTAATCAAAAATGAAAAATGACAATAACTTTTACCAAACATACTGCCTGTAAACATATTGTTAACAAGACACATTCTACACAGCTCTAGATCCCTTAACACATGTTTCTGTAAACATTTCTGTAGACACATGTTTCTGTAAACACAAGGTTGAAACTAAAGTTACAAATTAACATCTCAAAACAAAATAATTATTCAGGGTATAAATCAAAATGAAGTTTCTTATGTCTTCCTTTTCTACATAGACACATTAACAGTCTGATCTCTCTTTCTTTTCCCTACAGACACTAGGCTTCCCTTCCCCCTGGTGCAGCCGGACCTTCTGTGGTGTCTTGAGCAAGCCCCTGGTGCTGTGTGGGCCTCTGCGGACTCAAGGTCTGGCACCTGACTTATACCCTGTTGTGATATCCTGCCATCTGGCCCCATATGGAGTCCTACAGGGGACTGTGAGACCCAGGTGTGAGCACTGGCTCAGGCCCCTCTCAGAGGTCTGGTGGTCCAGCATCTGTCCACGGGCCTCCTCTCCTCGTCCTCTTATCCAGGCTCCTGCCTCTGCCACAGTTCCCCAGAGGTGACCTTCAGCCTGGCCCAGGGGCTCACACACTCCTGAGGGAGGCAGGGCCAGACTCAGGCAAGGCCTTGGGGGACACATCCCAGTGGGCAGGACACTCTTGGGGGTGGAACTACAGGGAGGAGAGGCAGGGCAATTGAGGCTTGAGGTGCCTGGCACCACTCAAGGTGAGCAGCCTGCTCCTTTTCTTCAGTCTCAGATGGAGCGGAGGACAGAGGTGGGGAAGAGAGGCCACTGAGACAGTAGGGCTTGGTTATGGATGACGGGGGTCCTTGTGTGATATAATTAGGCTTTGTGTCTCCACCCAAATCTCATCTTGAATTATCCCCATTTTCCCCACCTGTCAAGGGAGAGACCAGGTGGAGGTAATTGGTGGATCATGAGAACAGGTCCCCCATGCTGGTCTCGTGATAGTGAGTGAGTTCTCATGAGATCTGATGGTTTTATAGGGGGCTTTTCCCACTTTGTTCAGCGCTTCTCCTTCCTGCTGCCTGGTGAAGAAGTTTCCTTGCTTCCCCTTCACCTTCCGCTGTGATTGTAAAGTTTCCTGACACCTCCCCAGCCATGCTGAACTGAGACTAAATTAAACCTCTTTCTTTTACAAACTATCCAGTCTCGTGCAGTTCTTTATAGCAGAATGAAAACAGATGAATACACTGTCCCTGCTGAGGGCTGGCCCGGCTGGGCTCTCCCTGCATTGGCACTTGGGTTGCCAGTAGCAGTGGTAGTGCTGGCGGGTGGGAGCTCTCCCCTGCTCCACGTGTGCTCCTGAGATGTCCCTGGCACCAAACCACCTTCCCAGCTGTGGGCATGGATGAAGGGAGGGACCAAGATTTCCTATTGCTCTTTTTTGTGTGTGTTTTGTTGTGGGTTTTTTGAGATGAAGTCTTGCTCTGTTGTCCAGGCTGGAGTGCAGTGGTGAGATCTTGGCTCACTGCAACCTCCGCCTCCCAGGTTCAAGCAATTCTCTTGCCTCAGCCTCCCCAGTGAATGGGATTACAGGCCCCCACCACCATGCCAGGCTAATTTTTGTATTCATAGTAGAGATGGGGTTTCGCCATGTTGGCCAGGCTCATCTTGAACTCATGACCTTAAGTAATCCACCCACCTCAGCCTCCCAAAGTTCTGGGATTATAGGCATGAGCCACCACGGCTGGCCTTGAGATTTCCTGTAACTCTTGAAGTGAGAGGCCCAAGAAGGGTTGGGAGCATAGATGTTTGTGAGTCCATGGGGGCCAGCACTCTGTCTGTGGAACCCGGGGTGAACCTTTCTGTGCCCCGGGGCCTCATTTGTCTACCTGGCAAGTTTGATATTAGACCAGTCAGGGCCAGGGTTTCAGCTGAAACTCTGGATTCAAATCTCACTAACTAATAAGCTTCAACAAACCGCTGAACCTCCTGGTACCTCAGTCCCTACATCTGTAAAATGGAGATGACAATGCGATGTTCCTCCTAGAACCGTTGAGAGGATTAAATGAGTTGATCTGTATCAGTATCCATGTCTGTCTGTATGTCTGTGTCTATATCTATATCATATGGTATATACCATGTTAGTGTATTTCAATGTTAAGTATTATCATTATTACCAGGTCCCAGGCCCTTTTGAGAATTCAATAAAACATACTTTTCAGAGAAAATCTGCATCCACATAACCAACGCGGTGCACAATTTTGAGGGGTCATGAACAGACTGCAACTTGGCTGTGCTGTGTGGATAGTGAACGTCCACACCTATGGCAGTCTGACTCTAATGTGCTTTCTTTAGTTGAAATTTTGGGGTCAAGTTAATATACTCAGATAGCTCTGGGATCAAATTAATATACTCAAATAGCTCTAAAGGTTCAAAGATAAATAGTCACTTATACCCTGCCTCCCTCCTGCCCCCTAACCCCATACTCCTCTCTCTGGCACTGGGCCACCCAATCTGGCCTCAGCCTTAGCTGTGAGCTGTGGTGCCCAGAGTCCAGGGAGCAGGACTGCTTCTGTTTCCTCCCCATGGCCATGAAGCTGGGTTTGGCCCCTGTGACTCACTGCCAAGCTCCGTGGTCCTGCCTTCTGAGGAGCTCTTGGATGTGCTCCGTGCCTCCGCCCCTCTGTTCCTCCCCAGTCTAGATGTCCTCCCTTTCCTGCCTTGGTGGTCTCCCTGCTTCCACCCTTGTCCCTCCCTGGCAGCCAGAGTGAGCTTCCACCTTGCACATCCCACCATATCCCCTCCTGCCTACAACTCCTGGGTGGCTCCCCATGGACTGCAATGATCATCAGGGCTGAAGGAGAGAAAGTTGTGTAAGATTCATGATTCCCAGCATACAGGAAAAGCAGAATTCTTACCAATAAACTTGATATCATCAAAGGGGGTCTGGGATTGGTCCAGGGGCCTGTAAGGTCGCTGTTTGGGAGCCAGGCCTGCAAGGGCTCCTCGGGTGGGGGTGGGGATGAGGCAGCTGGGATAAAATCATTTCATGCAAATGCATTGAAATGAGGCTTTGTGGCAGGTTTAACAAGCTGCCAGGAACAAAGGCTCTGTGATCATCCTGTCTCCCACCTCTAACCAACTGGCTAGAGTGAGAGTTCCTTGGGGGCCTGGAGGAGGGACTGTGGGGGATGGAATCTCAGGCCCTGGACCTTAGGGAATTAGGAGAAAAAACACACCTCTGAGCTCCACCCTTGCCCTCCCTTATACCCTCAGTGGGTGCCCCTTGCCTACAAGATGAAATGCAAACTCCCCTTGGGCACACCCAATACTGAGCTTCCAGCTCATAGTTGAACAATAGTCCCTTTCCTTTTAAAATGAACCTCAGGTGCACACCCCTAGTTAGGTGTGATTGTATTAATCACACCCCTAGTTAGGATGCGCTCTTACAGGGCTCATACAGGGCCACCGTAATTAGTGTTTGCAATAACATAGCAAGCACCTTTAAACTCAGTTCAACCCAAGATCTAGAACCTTAACAATGTTTGTACCTACCTTTTTGCCCCTCAGAGGTCAGCACTATGCTAAATTTTGCATGTATCACCCCCTTATCTTTTTTTTTTTTTTTAAGAGATGCCCAGGCTGGAGTGCAGGGGTGTGACCATAGCTCACTGCAGCTTCAAACTCCTGGCCTCAAGTGATCCTCCTGCATTGGCCTCCCAAAGTGCTTGGATTACAGGTGTGAACCACTACATCCAGGCCTCTTGCCCTTTAAAACATAATTCCTTTATTCCTTTTTCCTTTTTTTTTTTTTTCTTTTTTTTTGGAGACAGAGTCTTGCTCTGTTGCCCAGGCTGTACTGCAGTGGGAGATCTTGGCTCACTGCAACCTCTGCCTCCCAGGCTCAAGTGATCCTGCTGCCTTAGCCTTCCAAGTAGCTGGGACTACAGGCACTCACCACCATGCCCAGCTAACTTTTTTTTTTGTAGAGATGGGGATTTACCATGTTGTCCAGGCTGGTTGCAAACTCCTGAACTCAAGTGATCCGCCTGCCTCGGCCCTCCCAAGGTGCTAGGATTATGGGCATGAGCCAACACGCCCAGACTAAATTTGTTTCTGTATCAGCTAGGATAAACTAGGTCATACCACAATAACAACCCCCAGTCTCAGTGGCTTGCCCTGAAAGGCTTCTTTTTCTGCCAGTGCAGTTTGGCAGAGGCTCTGCTCATTGCAGGCACTCAGGGACCCAGGCATGTGGATGGCACAGCCACTATCTAATGATACTGTCATTTCAACTCCAAGTTCTGGGGTTTGCTTTGGTTGGGGGAGGAAGTGAAGAATAAGAAATATGTACCAGTTCTTAGATGTTTCTGCTCAAAAGTGACACTGAGCACTTTTGCTGGCATTTCACTGGCCAAAGCTCTTCCCAAGGTTATCTCTAATTTCAAGAGGGCATGAAGGAAAAATGCCGTCCAAAATGAGGGAAGAATCAGAAGACTCATTGAGCATGGGTAATGCCACCACAACCACATATCTGTGGATGCCTGAGCAATATGTTGCTGATTTGAGCTGTTTGTGATCTTTATAAAAAGGCATCATGTTATATATTATCTTCTGAGATTTACTTTTTCACTCAATATTATGTTAAGATTCACACATACTATTGTACATAGTGGTCATTTTTTTCAATTTCATTGCAGTACAGTATTCCATGGACAGATTCTGCCCCATGTATCCGTTTTCCTTTCAAAGGGCATTTGAGCTGTTCTAATTCGTTTGCTGTAATGGACACTGCTCCTGTGAATGGTCTCTTGCAACTTCATTTTGATTTCATCATTCCAAGCTGCAGATTTTGAGCTACTGGCAGCTCCTGAGAGTTCTGTGCAGCTCCTGCCTCAGTCTTCAGGCCCCAGGCGGTCTGGCCTCTCAAGGTGGAGGCTCCTCAATTCTCTGTGGTCCCTCCTAGCCAGCTGAGCAAGGAGCCAGCGCACAAGGCTCCCCTCTGTGCAGCAATTTCTGCTTCCTGCCGCGCTCATCTTAACAATGGGAGGCAGGTCTGGGGTACAGGTGAGGGCAGCATGTCAGATGTGAAGCTTCTTCTGAGAAACACCCATTGTGCTGGGTGCTGGAGATGCAAAGAATAACTCATTCATTTACAAAACAGACATTTATTTCCTTCCTTTTATGTGTTGTACTCCGTTAGACTGGGATCACAAAGATAAAGGACCTGCCCTCAAGGAGCTCATGGTCAAGTTGAGGAAACAGAGACATAAGTAAATGACTGTTTTTGCTGACATATATGACGTGCAGGTGTCTAAGTCTCACTGTGATTTTATAAATCTAAGTATGTCTAGTCATATACGTCTCTATGTCTCTATCTGCCTATCTAGTAAACATGATTTTATTTATGTAAATTTGATGTCATCTATACTGGGACAGAATGAGAAACCAGATCTTGATTGATGGGTATTATTTTTATAGATCATAAAGCTCCTGAGCTAATACCTATGTTTTAAATTCTTCTAGTTGGGTCACTTTAAAATTTCCCTAGAGAGATGGGCTGGCTACAGCTTTCAGATGCACTTTTGATCTTCTCCAGGTCTTTATCTTCTTTTTTTATTCTCAGTTGCTGGTGGACCAAAATATCCCTGCATTCCCTTGGGAAGTTAATCTTCTGCTTGACCCTAGTGTTATAGCAATGCTTCCACTGCTTTTGAGCCATGGCTTACATTCACATCTGAAATGCTGGAGAAAGAACCCATATTCTACCTCTGATCAGTCGTGTGGCTTGTTGCTGCTTTAATTAAGAATACCTACAGGAAGTGATCCTGGAATCTTTTCATTTGTTTGCGACAGGGTCTGGTTATGTTGCTTAGGCTGATCTTGAACGCCTGAGCCCAAGCATCCTCTTACTTCAGCTTTCCAAATAGCTGGGGCTATAGGTGTGTG